TTATTACACAGTGCTGAATCAACTTGAGAGAGAGAGAGAGAGAGAAAAGCAAAACAAAAAACAAGTTGCAGGGTTTGTGAGAAGCACAGAAATCAAATGCCACGGAGCTGCTGGAGCAATTAGATACGATGTGACGGCAACTGTGGCAGTGAGTCAAGATGTGGTCGGATGATAAAAACGTTGTTGGGACGCTTTTCCAGGGCAGGATAAGGAGTGACTAAGCTGATGTGGCGGATATCTCATCGCATGCCACATACTCCTTTTACACAGAAAACAGAGAGTTAAAAATAGCAAGATGGCTCTGTCTTTACTGTTAGGCAGGAAAACAATGAGCAGTATTCATTTGTGAAGAATTTTAGATCGCATGTGTTAATTTGGCATTCTGAAGCTTTTAGGTCCCGAGCAATAATAATAATGATAATAATAATAATAGTAATTTGTTAGCTGATGACAGCCAATCTTGGACCAAAAAGCACAGTCCTTGCTGCGAGGGACACGTTAACTTGGTCTCTTTTCACTCTCCACAACAGTGATTTGAGTGACAGCGCTGGAATTGACAGAAGTGGATGAGAAGGAATGTAGCTTTATAAGGTCTTCTCTGGCCGCAGGATGAAGATGACAGTAGGAAGAAAGATCTGGGACATGCAACTATAGAGAGAGAAGGGCCCTGAGCTGACAATGTGGCCCTAATCTGAATGACAAGGTCTGCACATCAGCCCTCAAACCAGCACGGGTTGGGGGGGTTGTGCTGGAGCATTATGAGAAAGCTAAGTGGGGAGAGGAATAAGAAGAGACAGAAAAGGGAGGAGGGAGAGGGCTGGCATGGGTGTCCTTCTTTCAAACATGCTGGCCTTAATGGCACAGACAGCTCTGACATTTAACCACTGAAACATTTTTAGATAAGTGGATGCGGTGGAGGCAGATTTGAGACTTGTGAAAATTTCAGGAGGTTTTTTTTTTCTCTTTTTAGGTTAACTATAAGCTATAAAGAGCTTTTGAAAAGGGGCCGCGCAAACGTTAAGAATAAGGAGAGGAAATTAAAGGGGAAAATAATATTTGTGCACAAGCTGGAGAAGTGACTCAAGGGGTTCTCTAGTTAATGACTAATGCTGACGTTCTCTTGAGCAACGGCGCATCTCACAGTTGGTTCGGTGACGCTATTTGGTGGTCCAGAGTAAGAGACCACAGTATGAATGTGATACAGGATGCTGCAGATTACCACCACATATGTTGAACAGACTTAAAACAAAGTACTGTTACAAAACTACTTTAAAGGAGTGCCAGCAATACAGAAACTTGTAGAACAAGTTGGTGTAATGGATACTGTCAGTGTTTCACAGTTAGTACTGTGAAAACAGAAAAAAAACCAACCCACATACCTGTAATTCCAGAAAGGCATCTGCAAGAGGTGATTAAATTACTCGAAAAACAACAAAAGAACTGACTGCACCCAATAGCACAGTATCGAGTTTTGTAATGTCTGTCTATACAGTTTCATCAGATGGTGTTAAAGATAAGTGTTGGGCTGAAATGTCACCAACCATAAGGTTTAGGATTCATTTTCTCTACGTAAGATTTGTACCCTTCTCGTTCGATCTTTGTCTCACTAGTGTAGAAGGTTACTACTGATGCCTATTTTGGCAGAGGAACACACAGATTTTTTTCTTGGTGAGATGTGAAACTAAGAAAACTAAGAAAAAACATTTCAATTCAGATTGTGTGGTTCTTATCGGTTGTGAGTTAACAAAAGGAATATATTTTAGATTATCCACTTTTGTTCAGTACACTACTAACACAAAAATGTTCATGGTAACATTTCTAAAGGCCTTAATGGGTGAAATTACGTGTGCCAGAATTCTGGAGCTCACACACATGCAGTGAATGATTAAAATATCATAAGAAAAAAAATGGATTCAGGTTTAGGGTTAAATAGCTTGAAGAAACTGGATATGCATAAAAACAAAATTGGAAACCCCAGTTAATGCCCGTCTCTCTCCTTCACTTCCATGTCTCTCTCTCTCTCTCGGGAGGGGGAGGAAATTCCTGGCGAGGGTGCTGCGAGTTGTTGCTCTCTGCCTGCAGGTACAGACCGGCCTCCTCTGTCTGCCTGTCTGCAGATATCATACCGCGACGTGATCTGTTTAGCTGCCTGACTTAATGCTCACCTGCTCACGCGCCTCCGGCTCTGTGTGATTGAGTGTGTGTGTGTGTGTTGACTTCCGCTGTCCCCTCACAGCTGGAATGGCATCTCCCTCTTTATCTGCCACCCTGCGATTACAGACGTGTGCACACGCAGAATGATAGATGGATTTTTACTACACTGATGAGATATTTGTGTCCACTAACCAGGCATGCAGCTGACGCCTTCCCCAACATGTGTTTCAGCTCCACTGATGAAAAAACAGATAAGAGACTCTTTACCAGCACGTACCACAGCATCAGCATTATTATGTTTAAGCTCTACTTTAAGCTCCAACTTTAAATACTAAATAAATCTATTGAGTCTATTGAGGCTAATTGCTGGTTAATTAAGCATCTTTTTAGTGTTTTTGCCCCCAACCTTTCTAAGCAGTCTCACCCTGTGATTATTATTATAAGATGGGTTTTTTTCCCCATGTTTTGACTGCTGCAACACAGCAATTTCCCAATTTTTGGGACAAACTAAGTATTTAAGGCCTGAGAATCAGCAGTGCAAAAGAAAGCGAGACACAAATACTCATAAAACAAAGGACTGACGAGCTAGAATGGAAAGAATTAGGTTGCTTAAATCCAAAAAGCAAGTAAGGATAGATGATGTAACACAGGACATTATCAAAAGCAGCGTTACCTTACCTTTTAAATCCAGTCTCAATACATTCTAGCTTATATAGCATAGTTTTGCATTATAAATAAGAAAAGCATCAAATTCAATTATTAAAGCTGCTTAAACTCGATGAATTTTCTTAGTGGGATTTTGATTTGTTGTGTGTTTTGCAGTGTTTTATTTATATAACTGTTTTTTGGGGGTTTGTTTGTTATGTCCTCTTGAGGTTGTCACAGCACTGACAGATACAAGCTGACTTGTACAACCCCGTTCACAAAACACACACAGACACACTTGAGTAGGGGTCTGAGTCCAGCTGGAGGTGGTCTCCTGCCAAACCTGCAGGCAGCCTGACTGTTTTCATATTCATCACACACACAGTGATTAGAACTGACAGCACACACACACACACACACACACACACACACACACACACACACACACACACACACACACACACACACACACACACAGCTGTGTGAAAAAAAAATCAATATTTTAACTGCAACCTGTTATCCTAAAAAATTTACAAAGAGAAACTATTTTGTTGCCACTGCTGCATTATTCTGTCTTTGACTTCTTTTACTGTTATTTTATATTTAATGTCACAACAGCTATCTGTGCTATCTAGTTAAAAAAGAAAAAAGCAACAAAGAAAAGAGAAATAGAGGAGGATGCTAAAAAAGAGATGGATCTAGACTGGCTGCAGTAAGTAATGTCATGAGAGGAGTGGACCGGGGGGG